AAAAAAAAAAGGCAAGAACATGAAGGTATCAAAGAATGAAAAGAACATGAGATGTCACATAACCACTAAAAACCCCCAGCACTTTTCTCGACGAGCCTCAGCCGATCAGATGGAGGGCAGTGGCTATAAAAACGAGTAACGACATAAGATTTGTGATCAGTAGAGTTGAAGCGGCTGATAGGTTATGGGCCACCACAGAATAAGAATTTCCAGTGGCTTCATCTTTTACTTTGATGCTGGATGAACCTGAAAATCGAAATCGAAAAATATTTATTTACGGTCAGCTGTGAATTCAAAATCTCACATTTATTAGTCGTCGTTACTCTAATTTCACAAGTTTTTAATTTCTTGATACGGAAGAAAAAGAAGAAGGAAAATATGGGGAAATCTAACAGATGACTGGAAATGAATGCACAGATATGAAACCAAATAGCAAACCAGATCCCACTCACAGTTATACTGTGCCCATCCAATTGTCTGATTTTCCATGTCATATAGAACAAGCTTGTCCGACAATGCAATATCTGCAATTAAAAAGATGAATACTATGAGAAAAATACTTGATAACATTATATGTAGAAGCGTTGGTAATAATTTAACATGTGACGCGGGGAAAGGTTCAAAGTGAGGATAAAGAAGGAAGAAATAATTATTGGAAATTATCTTGCAGCTAACATAAAATATGGGAATCAATATAAATCCAAAATCTTGAAATTAAGATCTAAGTGTAAAATTAGTTAAGGGATGTTTGAGTTTTGGTGTATATTCATATGTTTACTACTTCAGCTGATTACCGAGTAAAGAGATTGCTAGTGTAAGTGCAAAAATATCCGGAATTCCCAACAGAAAAGTTCAACACACGTTTGAAAAAAGAAAAAAAAACAATAATGAGTATAATTTACCTTCATATGTCCACAAAATATGTTTTTAAACAAATTAAAGTAGTTATTACCTCCCAACAAAGTCAATTCTTGTCCGTCCTTTCCCTGCATTTCACTGTCCTGCCAACCAATGCAATATTCTCCATCCTAGAAATTAATTAATTTGCTTCTTAGGAAAAAAAAAAAAAAAGGAATATTAACTGGATACCTTCACGATGACAAAGTTAATGGGTTTCTACAACATAAAAAAACATTGCAAAAATTGCTAAGTTTTAATGCCGAGCAAATCCACAATTTCTATAACAAAATTTGCAGTATGATTCGACACCATAGTGTAACTTGTGGGGCCAAATTAATAAGCAATGACTTATACAACCAAAATAATCCAGCCTACTACTTACACGAACTTCAAACAGATAATCATGGGGATAAACCGGCAAGGAAAGTGAGTCCTCAAACCGAAAACTTATTACTGGAAATCCATCATCGATGCTGCCAAGAAAAAAAAAATAAAAAAAAAAAAGACACAGTTACTTCAGATTTTGCATAAGAAAGATAAAGCACATTTGCAGGTACATTAACTTCGAAATACAAATACAAAAGCAAGAACATACAAGTAAATTCCTCGTGAAAAAATAAAAAATCCATATATATTGAAAGTGGTTGATGAATAATTTAAAATAGTAACTTTGACTTTGTAACACAAATAAGTTGACTTACTACTAAAGGAAATATAGTAAAAATTACTTTAATATTTATAAAAAATTAAATTAAATTAAATTATGTATGCATGTTGTAAATCATGCAATCAGATTAATAGCATGATTTTCTATATAAAAAAAGTGGTATCAATTTTGAAAATTATTTTCTGAAAATTATCGCAATAAAAATAATATTATGAAACTACTATATTATTAAATTATTAAATTACTATATATCATAAAATAAAAGAAAAAATAATATTCAGAAATAATTTTATATTAATATGTATTTCTTTATTGCTCTAATACATGCATTTATAATTATTACCCCATGCATCGCATGAGCTACGTACTAGTAATTATATAAAGGTAAGCCAGGAAATATTCTGTCAGTCGACGAAAAAAACATCAACCACAAGTATCTCAAAAGTCCCTATTAATTAAGCCATATAAATGCAGCATACAACACTGCAGATCATTGTAGCATATAAAACCACATCTTTGTGCGATATAAATTCGATCTGGACAACAGACTTTAAAGATCAAGAACTCTCTCAATCACGTCTCGTTATGTGACTTATACATGATCATATTCCATTCTATTTATTTTTCATTGTTTTCTCTCATCTGCGTAAAAATTCTCTCCTTCTCACCCATGGACATAACCTAGTTTAGGTAGACCATGGTAACCTTATCAAAAACTTATGTTTCCAAATTTTCTTAATTCTTGCTTAAATACTAATAAAGGCTATCATACATTCATCGGTAGCATAATGTATGATAACTGTAGTAACGACTTTGTATTTTCATTGTGCTTTGCTATATGAATTCACATGCCTATAGAAACATGTATAGAGAGATTTTGTTAGTGCCAATACTTACTTCCCACTGTACCAAAAGCAGCTGAACTGATTCTCAACCATGTGAATTTTCAGGGTTGGTTGATGTGACATCATCTGATGGCATCGACAAAAATACACAGTCAGAAGAGTGTAAGTTGAATGTGCATCAACATAGAACAATGAAGAAAGTTATGGATTTTTTTATTTCCTCAAGTATGCCATGAGAAAAACATGGAATGGTGAAGTTCTTTGGCGTACCTCATCGATAACCTGCTGATAAATATCAGATGAAAGGTAGGCCAAAGTCGTGCCACTATCAATTATAGCCTTTCTACTTGGCCCAAAGCCAAAAAGACCTGTTCGAATGTCGAGAGATTTACCACCAACTTCAACTCCTCTCAATTCTACATTATAGTGTTGCCTAAGAAGATAATACAAATTTAATCAAACAAATTGTATACATAAATAGATAGAGAGAGATAGAGAGAGAGAGAGAGAACATTATGTGAAAGCCGTACATAACAAGACTGATTGGTCAAATGAATGCCAAGTGTCAAACATTAGGTATGGGCTGAACAGCTAGTTTTATAGCTACTTAACTTCAAGACAATCTAGGTAGGAAGTAATCACATTAATTTCAGACAAACATATTTACTTGAAGTTCAATTCTGAAGAAACTCATAGAGAACAGGTTAACTGGCTGAGAAGATTCAAATTAACTTCTGGACATCAATAAAGAAACCACCACATTAAATTGAAAATTCTGCATCAATCATCACATTATTAAAACATAAGGCAGTATAACCTCCAATCATTTCTTGAACCTCAGAGGAGAGGAATAAAAACATATAGCAAAACTTTTAACTTATTGTTCCTACCAAAGTTGGGAGCAACCCAATGTTTGGCTTTTACTAATCCGATTCAACTGCTGCAATCAAATTTAAAGTTCTAATGGAGAAAAATCTGGATGTTGATTCCAACTGATCCGGGGAGTGAGGACAGATAGAAAGTAGTATCTCTCAATTTGATAATAATAATAATCTCTATTGTATATTTGAGAAACTAAGACTTAGACCACAAAAATGTCATTAACTTGAGTTCTACTCTAAAGAAATAAATTCGAGTAGTAGCTATAACTACATGTGATGATAGAGATTAGGAAAGTAAACCATGAGAAGGAAAGCAAGAATGGAGTAAAATATCTATGCACAAATCAAGGGATTGACTGGAATCATGGGATCCTACCTGGCATGGAAGGCCATCAAATTATTATCATATTCTTCTTTATAACTACCTTAAATAAATAATATGCTTATAAAAGGGTTGTGAGGAAGTGATGATTAGGGATCGAGAGAAAAAAATATTGTTTATCGGCTTTTTAGCTTGGGCGGGATTATCTCCCAAGGAGAACTCCGTGTTTTTGGAGAACCTTGTGTTCTTTTTTCTTTTGTTTTTAATTAATAATATTTAAAAAAGTAAAGTCACATGAGACGTACTGATTTGGGACTAGCGGTGTTGTCTTTACTTTTGGCTGCACGACTTCTCCAATTGCAAAGATGCCCCCTCCCTTGTTACCATCCAAGCAATGTGAAAATATCTTTTTCACCTTTCCAGATGATGCGAGCTGTGAAAGAATGGATGTATTTGCTTGTCCAAAACCAATTATTCCATCAACAGCCTGAGTAGATGAACCTAAATCTCCAGATTGTTTTGCTGAGCACCTATCTTAGATGTGAACAAAAAAAAGGAAGAAAAGGAAAAAAATTTAAAACAGAGAAAAGTCACTGAAATATGCTGCCACATGTACCTGGTAATACATTTAAATTATATTACACAGGCTATCAAGAGAATTTCAAAGTAGCAACCAGACAAACAAAACGGTCTCACATGATGAATGTATAGGGGACCATTATAAACTTTGATTCTTGTTATCCACATGGCTACACGTAGATACTAAATAAACATCCAACACATAAATGCCATGGAATAGAAACTAAATAGTCCGAGCCCTCAAGAAGTTATATGCTGATCAACATTGTTTAATTAAACAATGGATCAATAATACTTGAAAAAGAAAAAAAGAATCAAATTACTAAGTGACCGAAAATATATTCTAAGATGAGACGGGACAACCCACCCGAATGCAATGGATCCATTCATTGGTGTGATCTGAAGGTTTCCAGATACTTGATCAAGTCTGAAGTTATCTCTGACAAAATAACCCTCAGTTTTGCTCCCATCTCCATAAGTAACAGCATATTCGCAATTCATTCCTGCCTTGCAGTTTGGGTTCGGATTATTAAATACAGCATCACAAAAATCTTGATCACAAGTGATTGTCTTTCCAGTGGATGAGGCCGACAAGTCATACTGGTTCAAGACTATCTGGTGGATTGAAACAAAACCGACATTTCTCAGATGAAGACAGACATTTCCCATTAAATTGGTACGAGGGTCATAAACAAAAATAAAGGATATAAGATGATACATACATGAAGATCACTTTTGGTGGGGCACTTGTCACAGTTTTTACAATTCACCCATAATATATCACTTCCTGTATCGATCTGGACATGATAGTCAACCGGAGGATTTCCAATTGTAATTTTGGTGTAATAGAGCCTGAAATCATGCATCAACTAATCAGTTAAAATACACAAACTGCTACCAATCGGAATGGAGCATGAACATTCATATAGGAGTGTTGATAAAACCATTTCACGGGTAACTAGTCAAAGCCAGATAAGTATCCCTTACTCAGTTTTAAGATTCCATTCAAATAACAGAGATAAGGGAATCCTGAATCTAACCTTTTAATGTAAAAAGATCTTACTCACACAAAACTGAAACACCGAGAAATTACTCCAAACATTAAGTTCAGATCAGATAATCGATACACAAAAAAAGACGCTAAATCTCTTAAACTCATCAAAGATAAGTGACATAAATGGAAGATTTTTACTACAAAATCGAGACCAAGACATCAGTAAGTAGTTTCTTGGGGGAAACCACGAAGTCTACCTAACAATTATGTACCAATAAAAAAATGCATGTTGATCTAAGCTACATCAACACGACATTTTTTAAGCAATGCACTACACACCGTGAAGAATGTGTGGAATGGGAACAAGACATGGAAAACATCAAGCCTCACGAAGAATATACTGTAAGGACAATAGGTTCCATAAAAATCTGCTCATTACATGCAGCCCAAGCAGATATCACCCAAGGTGCTATACACTATTAACTCTCACATGATGTAAACGACATCATTACATATCTACAAAATAAATAACAAATATGTAAAAGAAAAAAAAAAAAAAAAAAATGATGCTAGTGGAATCAAAGCGCACTCACAAACCAATTCAAAAAGCGTTCAAACCAATTCAAAACGCGTCCACAAGAACATTACTAGGGAAAAACGAAATCGAAATGAAATATCACGCGCAAATCAATGAGATAAACAAGACCAACACGTACGCAGTGCTCGTGGGCGAACCATCACCGCCCAACATGAAATCAACGGCGCTTAGCATCCGGCCGTGGCGCCGGGAGTCGTGCGCCCTCAGCTCTCTCAGCAACCCCTTTCCCCGGCCACGGCCGCCGTATTTGTGGTGGGCTTCGAAAACGACATTGCCAAACGCCAGCTCAACCGACGACAACAAGAAAAGCAATACCCACAGCACACTCCTCCCCGTCGATTCCATCGCTACCGCCACCACCTCTGCCAATAATTGTAGGCTGGAATGCAATAAATTAAAAAAAAAAATGCACCTTTTTTTTTTTTATCTGTATTGATTGATTTGGCGAGTGTGCAAAAGAAGAAGGTCAAAATCCGAAAGAGGGCTGGTGGGGAGGATGATGGATAAGGGCAGGGGAGGAACAAAAAAGAAAAGAAAGAAAAAAGCTTGGAAATGTCGAGAGACGAGAGATTAACGGGATAAGCGTTGAATTTATTAAAGAAGAAAAAAAGGATTTGAGTTTGGCAATAAGATCTGAGAGAGTCAGAATTCTATAGACTCAACCTCAAATCTGAGGGACGACTACTGAATACATACAAATAAGAATAAAAATTGTGCCTTTTGTTACACGGTTTCATCTTTTCCTCGGTAATTACTCTCTCTCTCTCTTCACGTTTTTATGTGGGGGGGGGGATTGCGTGTCTGAAAATGAGCAAGTTCTTGGCTTTTTACACTTGCACCTCACGTTTCTACACACATCAAAACGTGTATTTAGATGCCTTTCAAGGAACCAGGATAAGGGGAGCAACGTTTTGTGTTTGGAGAATTGGGATTAATTTGAGAATGATTAGATATAAGATTATGTATCATCACAATTGATCAGTTGTTGGACATGATTGGCTACAATAAGATAAATAACTAAATGTATGATATGATTATGTAAATTATAATTGATTTGACAATTTAGAGTGACGAATTTGACCAAGTTAAAGTCTCTCCGGACAAAGACATGGTTCTTACACCTCTTGTGCTCATTGCAAAAATCTAAAACCGGAGTTACTATTATGTATGTCACAATTGTCATTTACAACATACAGCCACAAACGGTCTTCTTTGACCATCGTTTACAGCATTTTCAAACCAAGATATCGCGACCTGAACCGTGAATGACAAAAGATTCATATGTTTTGACTATTGACAAATGGGAGATGATGTTTATTCGCACATGCTCCAAGTCCTTGATGATTGAAGAATTGCGAATAAGAGTATATTTCGCCATCATATTTTCATAATGTTTTGACCTCATTTTACTCTAGAATAGAAATGTAGCTCAGATAAGATCTTTGTAAGACATGGAAATTTCGACTTATATAAATGAACCAATGACAATGAGTTAGTCAAACGGGATCCAATGAGAGAAACAAGCTTTAGTTGAGAAAATACTGTGTTTAGGTTTAAATACAAAATAGCTGGTTTGTAATAATCATGCTAAGACATTTTGTTCCTGTAATTATAACCCATATACATGCTTATGAATTGCACTTAAAATTATTATTCAACATTACAATGCTTGTATGCAACCATGCTACATTCGTTAACAAACATTGCGATTCTAATTTATGTATGTAGAGTATTGACTGCTGCATTATAACACACTCCATTATGGTAAACATAATAGAAGGAAATGCTTGCACGATTTATAGATAATTAATCAATGGATTCATGCATTAATATCTATCAACAAGTAAATACACACGCATAAAAGGTACTTGTTAAAGGAAAGATTAATCTTTGGTAGACGATCTTGCAGTCTCGATAGCAGCAACTAGATCGTCAAATTTGGCTCCTGTAACTTCTTTAACAATTTTACCATCTTTCAATATCTTGAATGTCGGGACAACTTTGATCCCCAGTTCCTTTGCCAGAGGCTGCCCGACAAAAGGTAAAAGTCAAATGAAGCAAAACATTCAATAAGGTTAATCAGATTGGCGTATCTCATATTACCCTGTTGTCTTGGTTGCAGTCCAGCTTTAAGAAGAGAACATCATCGTATTTTTCAGACAACTCTTTATATTTTGGGGCTATCACCTTGCACGGACCACACCTAAACGTTAAAACAAATGCACAACCCAAACATTAGCAACATGTTGTTAATTAAGTGAGATATTCCAAACAAGAAGACAGCACGTAACCACATTGATATGCAGCTTTTTCATAATCCCATGTACGTGTTGGCTACTGCAAATAAGTAAGATAAGATATCGGTTTATATACGTGACACGGTCAACTGAAATATTGCAAAATGGAAAACATCCTCAACCCATTTCGGAATTTTCACATAGGCCACAGTTATTTTCAACCTACTATTATGCATTCACTTCTCATTCTTGGATAGCAAAACATACTAGCTATGTGATTTACTCTTCAAACAGGGAAGTTCTTGTTGATCGTTTTGGAACAATGCAGTTTACACAATATGTAGCCGGTCGGGTCCTCCAAAACAATCTTTAGCTTTAAGAAGTGCTTTACTGAAGAGCTGTAAAAATTTGAAATCTTTTTTGCAAGTTGCAGCAAGGAATCAAATTAAATGAATTAAAAGAGAATGTAGGGTTAATAAGTAGTTCAGAAGTCCTCATTTGATTGTAGAATTGGAATCATAATAAGCAGATTAATCAAGCAAATCACACCTATTTCATTTCAGTAAGAAACTTGCAGTTATGTGGCCTTTTTTTTTTTT